GAGTCAGATGCAGGGTGAGGCCTTAAGAGAATAATAAATTCAGCATTCAGCTGATGAGCCTTGTCCCAGCTGTGACCAGCTCTGCACAGCTCAGCTGCCTCATCTGTTAAATGGGCACAATTAACCAGACCATCAACCTCAGATGAAGTTCCTCCACTAGTTACCCAAATGCAGGATCAAGTCCTTGATCCAGGGATGGAGGGAGACCCACACCCCCATAGCCTCTCTTGAGCTTGTTAACATCTGCAGAGCGTGCTGTCTCATGAGGTTGGTGTCCGGCTATCACCATCTTCCTGGCCTCACAGGCTCCCTGTTCAGCCCTGTTTCTGCCATGTCATCTCAGTTACTCTTACCTCCTTCACCTGTGCCACTTGGTCCTGCTTTCGTGGCCCCTCTGCCATCTCTATCCTTGGGTGGACCCAATGTCTGTGTCTACAAACCTACACCAACAGCTGGAGAAACTCACACCACCCTGTAGGCTGATGACAACCCCCATCCATCGTCTCTAACCTCAGCAAAGCCCTCCGGTCACTGACCTGTGTGTCATCTTTCATCTGCCACCATGCCCCTATTTCTCAGCAAATCCCCTGGCCTTCCATGTCCCTGGTAACATGGAGACCGCAGAGCGTGAGCACCTCCCTTTCTTGAGTCTACCTCCCTGTCTTGGCCCTCATGGCCTCTCCTCTTCAGGAACCCCACCCCATCAGTCACCACCCCTCCTTTAGTCTAGGCCTCTCCATCTCCTGGGGCACCCCTGAGTTTCTCCAGGGGTCTATGAATGGCCAGCTCAGTAGACATTCCTGTCCTCTTTGAACCTGGCCTCTCCACAGCCTTTGTCCACCTCTTCCTAGGTCTCTTTCCCTCTTCTCTAGCTTTCCTCCTGCCTCCTGGAATCTTTTATTAACCCTTTTCTGGCCACTTCCCTTTGCCTTAAGTGCTGTGGGCCCCAGAGCTCTAAGATGGCGCAGATAGTTTTGAATTGGATGGTCAGCGGCCTGAGGCAAACAGGGCTCCTCCTTCCTAACATTTTCCTCTCACTGTCCTTCCTTCTGATCCCAGAAGTCAGAAGTCAGACCTTCATCACCCCTGCTAGGTGAGTAGTCCATTACCACAATGCAGTTGAGGGTTGGTTTTAAAATATGAACTGACCAGGGGCTGGGGTTATGGCTCAGCGGTAGAGTGCACACCTCACGCCTCACACATGCAAGGCCCTGGGTTCGATCCTCAGCACCACATAAAAATAAATAAATGAAATAAAGTTATTGTGTTCAACTACAAAAAAAATTAAATGTTTCAAAAAATATATGAACTGACCACATCTTGCCTTGGCTTAAAACCCATTCTTTAGAGCCACGGGACAAAATTAAAATTCCTGGAGCAAGTCCCTGCCAGCCTCCAATCCCTGTCACACTCTTGTACCCTTCTTCCATGCCCCCAAATGCCATCCACTTACATCAGCCTTCTACTCCCAAAATGCCTAGCACAGTGCCTGGTTCATAAAGGGGCCCAGCACTGACAGGGCGAGGTATCCTCAAAACAAACAACCTGCCATCCAAGTCAACTTGAATGAATGAATGAATGAATGAATGGTCAATGTAGCCAACTTTAAAGTTTCTAGGGGCTGGGGATGTGGCTCAAGCGGTAGCGCGCTCTCCTGGCATGCGTGCGGCCCGGGTTCGATCCTCAGCACCACATACAAACAAAGATGTTGTGTCCACCAAAAACCAAAATATAAATAAAATATTTAAAAAAAATTAAAAAATAAAGTTTCTAGAAGCTCCCTTTGCCCTTGCCTTGACTCTGATTCAGGCCTCTTCACCTCTGTGTCAGGCTCATCCTCCTTCAGCCCCTCCTCTCACCCCATGCCAGTCAGATCCAGCAAAATGGAAATCTGGCCACAATACCTCAGCTCCAGATCCTTACGTGAGCATACTACTGCAGAGAGGAAGCTCAAAGGGGATGCTATTGGTGTAGGTTTGTAGACATGGACTTTGGGTCCACCCAAGGACCCAATGGTACTAAGTGGAAAACACCAGTTACAAAGGTCATATATTCAATTGACCCAAAGCATCTGGTTGGCAAATCTATAGAGAGAAAGATCAGTGTTGGCTTAGGGCTGGGCGGCTTACAGGATGGAGGACGACAGCTAGAGTGGAAAGGGCTTCTTTAGGAGATGATATCCTAAAGTTGACTGTGGCTAAGTTGTAACGATCTTCGAGGACACTAAAAACCGCTCGATTACTATTCAGCTATGAAAAAGAATGAAATTCTGTCATTTGCAACACGTGATGGAATTGGAGGCCATTGTGTTGAGTGAAATAGCCAGGCCCAGAGAGACAAGGAGCAGAATCTAGAAACGTCACTCTCACCGAAGCTGAGAGTAGAATGGTGATTACAACAGGCTGGGGACAGCAGTGAGTAGGAAAAGGCTGATCACTGGGTACTAAGTTAGAGTTCAGAGCAAGATGCTCTGGGATGCTACTGTACAGTGGGGTGACTCTCGATAACATAACATACAGTATGTTCCAAAACGCTAGAAGAAGGGATTTTGAAAGTTACCACCATAAATAAATGCATTCCTGTAATCCCAGTGGCTTGGGAGGCTGAGGCAGGAAGATTGTGAGTTCAAAGCCAGCCTTAGTAAAAGCAAGGCTCTAAGCAACTCAGTGAGACCCTGTCTCTAAACTAAATACAAAAAAGGGCTGGGGATGTGGCTCAGTGGTGGAGTGCCCCCGAGTTCAATCTCCAGTACCCTCCACCAAAAAAGAGAAATGATACATGTTTGTACAAAGTATACATGTATTGAAATAGTATATGGCACCCCTCCAATATGTCGAATTTTGTGTTTTTATGGATCAGTTACAAATATTTTTAAAAACACCATTGAGTTGCACCCTTTACATGGGTGAATTGTATGTTATGTGACATATCTCAATGAAACTATTAAAAAAAAGCGGGGGCAGGGCATGTAGCTCAGTGGCAGAGCACTTGCCCAGCATGCACAAGGCCCTGGGTTTGATCCCAGCACTGCAACAACAACAAAACCTACAATGGTTTCCCATCCCCCACTAGGGAGACTCCCAGCTGCCACTTAGTTACTATTACCATGGAATAGCACTTAGGATGCCTTGAGTGTTGCTCTTATGCACTTTGAATGGCCCATCCCACTTTACCCTCCAGTAGCTCCCTAATGCAAGCATTATGGTTATACCCCCTTTTCAGAGAGGTAACTGAGGATAAGAGGCTTGAGAGACTTGTCCAGGACTCCATAATTCCCCTGTGGTTATGTCTAGCAGGGGCACTTCATGCAGTATTTTGTAAGGACTTGTTTACATGTTTCTTCCCACTGGAAGACAGGTCACCGTAACTTGGCAAATGGTGTCTGGTTTAGTGCTAGACTTCTTGCACTGGGCCCTGCAACCATCTGACCTGACTCAAGAACCTTACAAGGACGTAGAAATGCTGGAGGTGGGTTCAGTGTTCTTACCATCTCAGGTCCAGTTCCCTTTAAGGAAGGCAGCTCCTGCCCAGCCTGGACACTGCACCCCTGCCCCCATGCACAGGAGACAGATTCTAGAGTCTGTTTTCTCCTGAGCCCTTGTGTGAATTCCCTCTCCAAAGTCTCTCTCCCCTGCTGGGACCTTTCTCTGTAACCAAGAGGTTGGCCCTGCCCAGAGCCACTGGCTGCACACCTGGAGCCTAGCTCTGTCCCCTAGCAGTCCCTAAGTGCAGCAGGCAGCACAGGAAGTTCTTGGGGATGTACCAGGGAGCCCTGCCCAGCCCTGTCTCTTGAGCCCATGCCAAATCCCTCATACTCAAGAATGCCACCAGGCGTGGTGGCGCTCAACTGTAATCCCACCAACTTGGGAGGTTGAGGCAGGAGGAGAGTGAGTTCAACTTGGGAAGACCCGTCTCAAAACAATTTTTTTTTTTTAAAAAAAGGACTGGGGATGTTACTTAGTGAAGAAATGTGGTCTTTTTCAGAGGACATCCAGAGTGACCACAACTCCTAGGAACTTGGTGATAGATGTGTTAGCAGCATGTCATTCCAGGGGAAACAGTGTCACCCCCACCTGGTCCTTTGGTCCTGACCGGCCTTGGGGGCCAGAGTTTGCTCCCATTTGCTCCTAACCTCGTTCTAAACATCATTGCCATGCGTCTCACTCTCCCTCCTTCTTTTCTGAACCTCCAGGGTCACCTGCCAACATCTATTGACATTTTCTGTGGGATCCTCCCTAAATAGCTCTACCCAAAATGACTTGGCTGGGGAACAATCTAAGCCAATTTAAACCCCACAGAAGTAAAGACCTAGCTCACTTGCCCCTTCTTGGTGAGGCAGGCCCTTGCCCTCTGACTCTCAAATTCTTCTCTTGTGTCAGGCCAACCTCCCCTGCCTTAAAGCCAGATGCTGGAGTCTGTGTAACCATTGAGGCCCACAAGGCTCCAGGGGCAGGCAGCCATCTCGTCCCTCCTTGTGTGCCCCTGGGGTGGAGTTGGGGGAATCCCTGGGGCCCTCAGTGCAGGCAAGTAAGTCACTACCAGCCCTTAGAAACCAGAGTTGGCAGAGGCTGGTTGAATGCCCAGGTGGCCCAGATGCCTGGCTCCTCTCCTGGACATGGGGGGTGGTGGTGCTGAGACCCCCTTTTGGCTGCTCAGGAATGGCTTCTTGGGGCAACCACCCCCTCCAAATAAGCAAGACCCCTGACTTGGCTGACTCTCTGCCCCACAGAATTCAGCTCTAGGCAGCTCCCTGAGTCTCCTTCCCTGGCATAAATGGGGCAAAATCAAGCCGTAATACCAGGAGCAAGGATGGAAGAAGAGCTCTCAGCCCTTGGCCTCTCTGGAAGTAGGAAGCTGAGCCAGCAGATGTCTTCCCACAAGACCCCAGCCCCTGGGGCTCTTTCCTTGGCATCCCACCAGGCATGTCTGGTGCCTGCCTAGGGACATGCCTGCCAACCCCAAGGTCCAGCCCCTGCCCCTGAACAAACAGCAGCACTTACCATAATAGAAAAGATGAGGGGGATGAGGTTGAGGGGCCAGACAGGGCAGAAGCAAGAGGCGATGGCAAGGATGAGGTAATCTTTGGGGGCTTCTTGGTCCTGGGCGAAAGAGGTGGTGGCGACAGAGGATGCCCGCCTTGAGCTGGCCCGGGAAAGGGAGCCAGGGAGGGAGGCCTCCCGGTGCCCCTCGGAGATCACCTTGAAGGGCAGGCTGTGGCCGTTCTTCTCCAAGTCCAGAGCCTCCGAGAAGGACTTGGACAGATTCAGGGCTTTGTCATCCTTGCCCTCCACCTTGGTGAGGAGCTTCTCCATCTCGGGCAGTTTCAACGGTGAGGTGGAACCCATCTCCTGAGGTTGCCCTGGGTTAGCCATGTTGGTCTGGGCTTTGGGCTGCTCCAGCTCCAGGGCCTGGACAAGGGGCTTCAGAGGAACCTCAGCGCACCATTCCCCAGCCCGGAGTGGGAGCCTCCAGTGCAGGGATAGAAGGGTGGCCCGGGGATCCAAGGGCCAACTGGGTGCTGGGAGGGTGAGAAGGAGCCAGCTGGGTTCTCAAGGCCAGCTGGGTTCAGAGGCCAGGGCCTGCGCCACTCCTGCAGAGCTCCCAGGGAGCTGCAGCCTTCGGCTCTGCTCAAGTTTGAGGCCAACTTTGCTGACAGCACAGATGGGCGGGGAAGCAGAAGAAAGAGAAGAATGCTCCTTCCTCTCTGGAGTGAGGCTTAGGCTGAGGCAGGGAGGCTGTGTGTGTGTGTGTGTGTGTGTGTGTGTGTGTGTGTGTGTTGTGTGTGTGTGTGTTTGTGTGTGCATGCGCGCGTGCGCCCCATTCAGCCTCCCTCCCTCTCCACCCTCCTTGGAGATGCCTTTCCTTTTCAATTCCCCTCTCCCCAGAGAGCTACCCAGCAGCATCCCGCCTCTGCCTCAGCCCAGCCCAGCCCAGCCCAGCCCAGCCCAGCCCAGGGGGACTTGGGCTGGCTTCTGGTTTCCATTGCAACCCCAGGACCTGCTCCTCTGGGCCAGGGGCTCTGGATGGGGAAAACAAAGGTGGGTCACAAAGACATGTCTTCAGCCGTCCTGGGCACTGAGCCCCCTGCCTCTCTACCCAGCAGGCTTGTGCTTCCTCCTATCTGGTAGGAAATGCTGGACCCTGGGTCTACCACATCCCACCCAGACCTTGACCCTCAGCCCTTAGAGACCTCTAGGCCAAAGTCTTCTTCCTCGCTCCAAGAGGGAAGGGGAGATGTGAGCCGCAGGGTGGTCCCCGAAGGACCCACTAACTGGGTTTCTAAGCAGCTCACCAAGGCTTGGGGCAGAGGTTGGGGTGGGGGAAACAGTAGCTTCATCTCATGCCCATCAGGACTTTTCCATGGTGGTGAAGAGCAGCAGGCAGAGACCCTTCTGCTCAGCAGCTGCTCAGGCGGATGCCAGCTCTGGTTGTGGCTGCCTTTCCAGATTCTCTCTCATCTTTGTTCCCTTTTATGTTCCCTCCCTCTGTTTCTGCCTCCTTTATTCTCTGTATATTTTCCTTTCTAAATCCCTGACCTCTCTCCTTACTTTGATGATCTGGAGCCACTAGAGGTAGGGGTGTGTCGGGGGTAGAGTTTGAAGGGGGTGAGGAAATCATCTAAAATCCTAGGGTTATGCATGATATGGGAAATGATGCTGGAAGGGCCTCAGAAGCTGTGGAGTTCAAATCTGTTGGTACTGCAGTTTGGAAACTGAGGCCCAGACATGGGAAAAGATGCTCATCTCAAACTGTATCTCAGTTAGACATCAATCCTTGGTCTAGTTCATGAGGCAAGCTAGGAGCAAAACCAACTATGTTAGTGGGAAGAAATGGCTTTGGTTTGCATTATCAAGCTGGTTTCAGAAATGCTGCTTCCAGCCAGGTGTGGTGGTGCACACCTGTAATCCCAGTGGATCTGGAGGCTGAGGCAGGAGGATGGCTAGTTCAAAGGCAGCCTCAGCAACTTAGCAAGGCCCTAAGAACTCAGTGAGACATTGTCTCTAAATAAAATATAAAAAGGGGCTGGGGATGTGACATGGAGGTTAAGAGGCCCTAGATTCAATTTCCAGTACAAAAAACAAACAAACAAACAAACAAACAAAAACGTTGCTTCCAGTAAAGGCTGGATCAGACAGGTGGAGGGAAGTATGTACACACAGAGAACCGGCCAGAGGGAAGAAAGGAGAGCCCTGGAGAAGAGCCATATGCAGGGCTGACCTAAGAAGAGCTCTAGGGAACTGAAAGGACCCCTAGAAAATAATAAATTTGGAAAAAAATATTTGTGGCTATAGGGTAAAATTTTTAAGTTTAATAAATCCAACTGTATTAAATTAAGAACTTTTGCACAATAAGGTAAATGCATTGTTATTTGCAAAATGCCCCCCTCAGGGGAGGAGTGTCTACATCACAGACCTCAGGAAGCCCCTTAACCCCCAGGCCAGTAGCCCAGGCAGAGGAGTGAACTGGGTTCCTCTGCCCCAGGGTTTCCACAGATATGTCAATGCCTTTCAGTTGTGAAATCTCCTTCCATGGGCAGCAAGTTGGGCCCCTGAGACTGCTGGTCCCCGTCAGTATCCAGGTACACAGAATTTCATGTTACAATCCAGGAGCTGGCTGTTGGGTAGAGGGACTCAGGTCCTCTGCAGGACCTCTATCTGTCCAACTCAATACAGTAGCCTCTGGCTGCATATGACTACTGAGCACTTGAAATATGACTAGACAAATTGAGATAAGAGAATTTTGAAGATAACAGAGAAAAAAGAATGTAAACTATTTTATTCATATTTTATATTGATTGCATGTGGAAATAATAATATCTGGATATATTAGGCTAAGTAAAATGTTACTAAAATTAATGTTACCTATTTCTTCTTACTTTTTTAAAAAATTTACTGTGCCTGGTAGAAAATTTAAAATTAAAATGTGACTTACATTATATGTTTTTATTAGGCAGTGTCTAGACTATAAAACAGAAAGAACCAGACATAAATAAACCTTTTAAATTCTGTAAGCAAAGGAAAAAAAAATCCAGATTAGTTGGTGGCAGCAAGGTTGCCTGAATGAGTTGGTTACCGTTTCCTTCTTAGGGCACTGGGAGACCAGGCTGGCTCTGCCCGTGCAAGATGCTGGCTTGCAGCGCCACCTAGTGGGCTGTGTAATGAGGGGAATAACCGGATTTGGAGCCCAACCCTGCCAGCAGTTAAACCAGGTAGGTTCCCATCTAAATGGTTCATGGAAACCCACGGACTACATTAATTCTACAAAGTAGGTTTGGTCTGCATAGTTTTGACTCAACCAGTGTTTTTAAAAAAATTCATTCCACATAAGAATTGGGGTTTCAGACTTTCAAAAAAAATAAATTTATTTATTTGTTTATGGTACTAGAGATTAAACCCAGGGGGTTCTACCACTAAGCCATATTTATTTATTTTTACTTTATTTTTTATGTTTTTGAGACAGGGTCTAAGTTGCCAAAGCCGGCCTGGAACTTTGTGATCCTCCTGCCTCAGTCTCCCAAACCACCAGGATTACAGGTGTGCACCACCACACCTGGCTAGAGTTTCAGACTTTTAACATAAAATCTTGGAACTCTGGGCAAATTTCCTTCAGAAACCGGGCCAGCTGCAGCCTTTAGAAGGGCTTTGAACTCCTTGGTCAACTCCATGTTCCCTGCCTGCCTGGGAATCTGCGTGACGAGCCCTGGGCCAGCTAGACATTCGAGTCAGCCTCTTGCTGTTTCATAGCTGGCTGTCCTCATTGTTCTCTGGGGTGGACACAGGTTACAAAAGGAAAGAATTCCTCTCTCTTTCCCCATTCCCAACTTGGTGTTAGGCGCCTGAAGGAGGCAGTGGTAACCCCAGCTCCCTCGTCCAGGGTCTGGCTCATAATCAAGGCCAACTGGATGAATTGGAGGAAGCAGGAAACATTAACCAAGCACCCAGAGTGTGTCCCCACTGACACTGATCCCACCTCTGCCCACCCCCATCCTGTGTGCTCTAAGTGTGACAGATGCTGAGAGAGGTTAGGGATACAAACAGAGGAGGGGGAAGTGGGCCTGCATACTAGGGGTGYTTTGGGTGGTGGGGTGAACAGGAAAGAAACCTCAGAAGTTTCAAGTTAGGTTCAGCCTAATTCAAGGTGAAGAGGAAATAAAGCCCCCTCTTATCTGTTCTGCAGCCCTTTTTACTCTGGGCATCTGATTGGGTGTCTGGAAACCTATAGAGCTGACAGGGTGGGCATCATTGAGCCAATTTCTTGTCTCACTGAAGCCTTCTGGGGCCCAGCCACCCCTTCTTTAGAGGCCACAGAAGTCTCCTGACATCTGTGGTCACACATGTATGTGCACATTTGTGAAAGGCAAGGAAAACTTAATCTGATGAAGCTCCCATCAGAGTAAGAACCCCAAAATTTCACATCTAGTGAAGTGAATCCTCCCAAAGGAACCCACTGGGAATACATTATTCTTGACATCCTTGCACAAAATATGAACCTACTTCTCTCTGGGGTTATCCTAAGGGGACAGATCTTTCACTTTGGCGGGGGGGGGGAGTACTGAGAATTGAACTCAGGGGCACTTGACCACTGAACCACATCCCAGCCCTATTTTGTATTTTATTTAGAGACAGGGTCTCACTGAGTTGCTTAGGGCCTCAACTTTGCTGAGGCTGGCTTTGAACTCATGATCCTCCTGCCTGAGACTCCCAAGCCACTGGGATTACAAGCATGTGCCACTGCACCCAGCAGATCTTTCATTTTTAAAAAATAGTTAAGAAGGGCAGGCTCAGTTGCGCCAGGGCGCTAAGATGTCCTTTCCAAAGTATAAGCCCTCACGTCGGGCCACTCTACCCCGACCCTCGACCCCGATATGACATATCTCCGGAAACCYGGAAGGTGCAAGCCAAGAGGTTGGCCCTAAGAGCCTGGCTTAAACTGGAGTATGCTTTAGTACAACGACCCCAATCAYCGAGGGCTCATTGAAGATCCTGCCTTAATTCGCTGGACCTACGAAAGATCAGCAAATATCTACCCAAATTTCAGACCCACTCCCAAGAACTCACTCTTAGGAGCTCTGTTTGGAATTGGAGCCCTCTTCTTCTGGTATTATGTTTTCAAAACTGATAGGGATAGGAAGGAAAAACTTATCCAGGTAGGAAAATWGGACCTAAAATTTAATATCTCCTATTAAGTCTGGCAATGATGACTAATATATTATTCTTGCTTAATAAATCTTCTAATAATCATAAAAAATAGTTAAGAAGAATCTAATGAAAATTAAAACCATGTTTATCTCTCCAAACCCTCTCCCCATCTGTGCAGGCACCTACATGTTTGCCTGCATGATAATTAGTGGGCATGGACCATTTTGTGATCTGCCCTTTTAACTCACTATTATGTTTATTCTGTTAAAGTAGCAGAGTGCCTTTATGGTTGGGCATATGTGTTTTTTAAAACCTTGCWCTATAATGAACCAGACTGTTGTGATGGCTTTTTTGCAAATTAAGAAAAAAAAATCCTTTTGGATTGCTTCCTTAATGTATTTTTATCRTGATCTTTCCATATTTACAAAAAAGGAACAAATATACAGTACAGAGAGAAATTTGTAAAATGTGCCCCTTT